TTGTGTTAGGCTATTTTGATTACCCCATTACAGTCACTTTACAGTAAGTGCTATCATAAAAATAGACTTACTTATAGGTTTAAAATTCTACATGTCACATTTATTGTCCAACTACAAATATTACAGCGAAATGTATATTTTAGTCAGAATTATTGCGCTCCTCTTTAATTGAGCTCTGTCTGTTTGGCGCGCATGCGCACGGCGGCGCTCGTTCACTGAAGTTTAGCGGAGAATCCCAAAGCAGAAGGTTCATGCACTTCTGACAGAAAAATTTAATTATTTACATGGCTTTCTAACATTTACAGTTGGAGAATATACCTGTGAAATGTAAGTTATGCATTCAGGAAAACAGCACATCTCAAACACATTAAACAGCGCGAGTAGCCTAGTGTCTCTGTCAGCGGCACACACAGCTTTTCTGTCAGAGCATATGACGGGCCGAGCCGCTTATGTGAAACGATCGCTTATAAAGAAAATATCGATATATCGTACAAACTCGATATACCGCCCAGCCCTACTGGATGAGCTAAACCCAACATTTCCCTTCTCTCTCGGCGGCATGAAACTTTCTTCCATTATGTCCTTCCGTTCTTGCTTGGGGCTATTAATGCATTTTCCCACATTATTGGCATTATTGGCTTTCCTAAGGTGACATTGTGGCATATCATATGCAGGAGGCATTTGATAAGCTGCCTGCTTTCTCTCCTTCTCCATCCCTCCATCTCCATCTCTCTCTCTCTCTCTCTCACTCTCATCCAACAGTATTCGGTTACTCCACTCATTTGTTGACACACTCCATCAGACAGTATCACAGTCAGCACTTTAGAGCAGCGATGGTGCATTAAGAATCTCGCTGCCAGGCGCTCTTTTATTTGTTAGTATTCACAGCAGGGACAAAGCTGTTTTTTATCTTCTCCTCTAGTCTCTTAAAGCAGTAGTTCACTGAAAAAGGAATATAATTTACTCACCCTCATGTTGTTTCAAAATCGTATGACTTTATTTCTTCTGTGGAATGTAAAAGGAAGAATTTTGAAGAATGTACTAGTTGTTTTTTTCCATGCAATTACAGTGAATGGGACTTCCAAGCTTCAAGATAGAAACAAAAGAATCATAAAAGCATCTAAATATATAATAATATTTAATAATAAACACTACCGTTCAAAAGGCTGGGTGCAGTCATTTTTTAAAGACATTAATACTTTTATACGCAAGAACACAATAAATTGATCAAAAGTGACAGCAAAGACTTTTATATTTATTTAAAATTAATTTAAAATAAATGCTTCTTTTGAACTTTCTAGTTATCAAAGAATTGCACCAAATCAGTAGGCCTATATTAAAATGATTTCTGAAGGATCACGTGACACTCAAAACTGAAGTAGTCTAATGGCTGCTGAAAATTCAGTTTTGCATTTTAAAACATATTAAAACAGAAAACAGTTATTTTTTAAATTGTAATAATAATATTTCTCAATATTACTGTTTTACTGTATTTTAATTAAAATAAATGCAGCCTTATAGTGAGCATAAGAGACTTTTAAAAACATAAAAAAATCGGACTGGTAGTATAATATTATATGGACTACTGTTTTGATACTTGTGTGGTAATTTTTATTTCATGTCAAGTGTTAGTCTGCATTCATTATAATTTCAAAGAACAACCAGTACAGGTATTTAAAATTTTGTTTTTGTGTAAAACATAAACAAGTTTGGAACTACATAAGGATGCGAAAACATCAGAATGTAATTTTTGGGTGAACTATCCCTTTAAGAAATTTGTATTATGTCTTTCATCCTTCCCTTTCTCTTTTTTCCCTGTACATTCCAATGTGTCTGAATTTTATTTGTTTTTTTTCTCTGTATTCCCCTATCCCCAAAAAACAACATGTCTCCCACTTAAACAACCCAGGGTTTGCGTTGGTGCAAGCTGTTAGTAAATCTGGCCCCAAGTGTTAAAAATCTTAAAGATTTTCATTGTTTGATTTGGGCCAATTTTCCATTTATTTTTAAATACCATAGACTGTATAAAAACATGGACGTAGTGTCCGTGACGTCACCCATAGATTTCT